GAGTGTAGATAGGGTTCAATCATGCAAAGCGTTGTAGGACAAGTCAAGCACTTGAAGATTGGCTGCACGGCACCAGGCCGGAATTGAAGTTGAGATCCTTCCACCAATTCTATTTTTTGCAATGGAAAAGAAATAGACATGTGGGATTTGATCAGCAATATCAATAGGAATCATGGAGAAGTTATTGTTGGACAAGTCCATATACTGAGCCTCGGGTGGTGGTCGTGGAATCTGTCCACTTAGCATATTAGAATTTAGATCAAGGTAATGAATAGAATTGTATTCTATTGGTTCTTTCATATGCGTCAAATGATTGTGAGAAAGATTGAGGACACTGAGTTTCCCATTACCGATTCCCCATATCCCGCTAGGAATTTCTCTACTAACAGTATTGTTGGAAAGATCTAAGAACTGCAAATTAGGTTGGGTTTTTAGAAAACTAGGAAACTTCTGAAGATTGCACGAGGCTAATCCTAAATATTGAAATTGAGGAAGTAAGGGAAGTTGTGCGGCGCTTATGGTTGTCTCAACTACCAAGTTGTTATCGGAAAAATCAATAGACAACATATTGTAAGCAGTGTTTCTAAATTTGGTTAGATGTATAGTGCCATTAAATTTGTTTGATGTAAGATTTTGAAGTTGAAAGAAGGAAGGTATTGTCCCTTCCAAGTTGTTGCTCAAATCAAGAGATTCCAGTGGGGAAGTCACTTTTTGCAATTTTATTTGACCAGAAAAGTTGTTATTGGACAGACTTAACTCTTTAAGTGAAGGTAGGGAAAACAGTGGTGTTGGGATTGGTCCACTAAAATAGCAACCTGTAAGGTCAATATGGGACAGCAATCTGAGGTTTCCTATGGACTCGGGTAAATTCTCAGAAAACATTGTCCCCGAAGTGTGAGTCTCCTAAGAGATCCATTTTCTGGGAAGTCTGGCAAAGAACCCCCAAGCATGAAATTGGAACTTAAGTCAATGGTTGGTTTGCAGAGTTGGTACCTGGAATACTTTCTGAGGGACTGTTCGACTGAAGCTGCAACCTATGAGGCTCAAAACAGTCAGATTTTTGAAATCTTCAAAGAAGTCTGGAAATTTCTGCAAGAGAGACATGTTGAAGCCACGGGTGATTGAATCATCATGTTTGAAGTCAAGAGTAGTAATATATCCAGTAACACCATTGCAACTCAGACCCGGCCAGTGGCAGCAGTCAACTCTTTCATCCCACAGCACCAGCTTGGTGGATGCCAAAGAATCGTAAGTGATTTCACTTCGTATATATCTCGAGAGAAGAGAAGAGAAGAGAAGAAGCATAATGGTAAACATGAGAATCCTCATTTTATGAGATCGAGTTATGTTGTTTCTTGTTCATGCATAGGCATATATTTATATATTAGAAAGGATGATGACTTATTAAAAAAAAAAAAAAAAAGAAAGAAGAAATGATGATCTGTATATTGCTCTTTATTTGAGGAGCTTGGAAAAAAGCTGGTTTATAGACTAAGGGACAACGATGATCTGTATATTGCTTTTCATTTAAGGTATAATAACTAACACGACTTTTGATTTAATGTTTGAGGTGTAACTTAATTAATCGACTTTTTTTGAGTGTAGATACGAAAAGAACATGTTTGTGTTTACTGACTGCAATTACAATCTGACTAAAGTAACAGCTAAGGAACTTCGCGTTATGAGGTATAATATGCAGCACTGGAAAGAGAAAGAGATACACAACGAAGAAATGAGATTGTATGTCCCCGGGGGAGCGACCATGTTTTTGAAGGCGATGGGGTATCCCTCCATGACAAAAATATATATTTTGCAGGGCAAATTTTATGGTAACAATGCATTACCCCTACGTGTTTTCACACTCAACACTCGCAACAGAAGAGACGTTGGAATTTTTCAAGCCATATAAAAAATCAGCATAATCCGAAAATACGTAAAAAAAAATATTATGAATTTTTCTACATAAAAACATGACAAAAACAGCAAGTTATATGAAAAAAAAAAATAACATGTCAACATTTTGTTTTATTTCATTTTTTCATGTAAGCAAATTATATGGATTACTTGTTAGAAACTTGCTAAAAATGCTAGATGAAAAATAATTGAGATCAATATAATGACTTAGATGGACCATATTTTAATTCATGGTACTAGGCTAGCTGAATAATCAATGTTAGTACATGAGTCTATTTGACCCTTCTGCCTTTAATTTTTTAAGTATTGAAAGCAATGCTTAGTGACTAATTTGAGTTGCTCCTAAAGTCTTAATTACGGTGTGGAATTTTTTAACGGGTAGCAAAAGCGTAACTTTGGTCGTCGCCCGACAATCTCCTTTTGAATCCGGTTGTGACTTGCCTTGATGCCTATTGTCAGGATCAAGTGATTACCACTAAACTAAAACCTATAACTAGTATGTAGCGAAATGATGAAAGTTCTTGTGTGAAAGATGTTTGTATATTCACGTTCACATAAGATACAAGAAGATTACAAAACATATATACATAATTAGAGTCCTATTGTAACATAATAAACTCAAGAGAGTCCTAAACTAAATATATAGGCAAATTATGCTGTGCATCTGTATACACCATGCATGGTGCATACGGATGCAAAAACAACGTCGTTTTCTTAAAAACGCGCGTCTCACTTTAAAAAAAAATCAGTTCCGATTCCTAGCAACAACATTATATTGTGTATAATTTGAACTATATATCCAGAATCAATGAACTGCAACAACATTATATTGTGTATAATTTGAACTATATATCCAGAATCGATGAACTAAAATTCCAGAATTGTGTATAATTTGAACTATATATCCAGAATCGATGAACTAAAATTCCAGAATCTATGAACTAAAATTCCAGAATTTATGAACTAAAATTCCAGAATGAATGAACTAAAAATCCATAATGAATGAACTAAATATCCAGCATGAATGAAAAAAAATCAGTTTCGATTCACGTTTAAATATCCATAATCAATGAACTAAAATTCCAGAATCTATTAACTAAAATTCCAGAATGAATGAACAACATAATGCTGTTGAGGGGAATCGAAACTGATTTTATTTTAAAGTGGGATGCGCGTTTTTAATAAAACGACGTCGTTTTTGCATCCGTATGCACCATGCATGGTGCATACGGATGCACAGCATAATGATCCAAATATATCTCACAAACACACAAATAACAAATTAAATGTTGGGCGACGACTTGGAGATCATAGCTGAGTTCAGCATAATTTTTTCAAAACATGGCGCTAATTGCTATACAAGTATAAGGAAATAAAGTTGCATTTTCGCTATTAGCTACTCCCTCTGTCCCATTTTATTTGTCATACTTACTATTCATTGGTCAAACGAATTCTTTCTTCTTTGCTTGTTTTATTATCATTTTCTTATTATTTTTAAATCTAAATTTTTGTGTTTAATAATATTTTAAATGTTTTTAAATATATAAATTTCACATACTAATTCTAATAGTTATGAAAAATTAAATTGTAAATAACTTCAGTCAAGCATTTTAACCGAACCCGACACATAAAATGAGACGGAAGGAGTATAACTTTTGGAGTAGTGATAAGCGTTTGATTATGACAATTGATATAAAAGCAGATCACGGGATCAAAGGGGAATGTTGGCAGACAACAAAAGTTGCATCTTCGCTACTAGTTATAACTGTTAACTTAGTGGTAAGTGTTTGATGTGACAACAAATTATTAAAAATAAAAAAATTAGGAGTGATAATAAGAAATTATAAATGATCACTGTTAGGAATATAGCGGAATAATGCAAGAGAAGCGAAGAATTGAAAATTGAGAATTATAAAAGTTGAATAATAGGGAAAATATATTAAATGACAAAATAATTAGGAATAAAGAAAAATATATATATTATCACTAGGAAGTGATTACAACAGTAAATATATATGTGTATGTCTACGTGGGGACAAAAGAAAGAAGAAAGAATGAATTCAATATTGATGTAGGAATGAGTGCAAATTACACAGTAAAAATACTAGGCTATTTATACAATAAAAAATGAACTAGAATTGAGCAGCAAGCACAGATGAAAGCCAACATTGGAGAAACGTGTGCAAATTACACAGTAAAAATACTAGGCTATTTATACAATAAAAATGAACTAGAATTGAGCAGCAAGCACAGATGAAAGCCAACTTTGGAGAAACGTGCTACACGTACATGCATGCGACACGGATGATTGTCTTCATGGAATTGAATGGATTTTGAGCCACATATTTTATTTTTCTAACAATCACAAATTAAATGCTGCAAAATTCCAAAATAAGAAAGTAAAAAATTCCACACGGTTTAGAATTTAGGGGCAACTCAGATTGAAGCCACTAAGCTTTAGGGGCAACTTAGTTTCTATGTCCACACGCTTTAATTAAGACGACTCACCATCATGGTTGAAAATATCCCATGCATTGTGTATTCTTTTTTTTTTTTTTTAAGTTTATTTATTATTTATTATTTTTAAAGACTTAATAATTATAAACTATTTAATACTTTTTTTGAAAGCTACTGGTCCAGTAAGACTTGAACTCATAATCTTCCAAATGAAAGTCCAACCCGGGTACCATTAGACCACATAGTCCTGGTAAATACTTTAATAGTTAATACTAAAATATTATATATAAATCCAAAAAACATCTAGGGTTTGAACTATTTAGGGTTATTTTGTTCAAAATGACATCGTTTTGAGTAAAATAAATCTTAAAAAAAAAAAAAAAAAAAAGAACAATAGATAATCAGCCGACTAGGTGGCAACGCCTAGGCGGCCTATGCCGTCAACGCCTAGTCGGCCCCCTAAACCACAAATTATGGTGATAAGCTAGGCGGTCCGCTAGTGGAAACGATTTTTGCAACACTGGAGTCTAGACGTCAACTCATCCTTTCTAATATATATATATATATATATATATATATATATATATATGCATGAGCCAGGCCAGCAGCTTATACAAATTTCTGAAAATTGTAAACCTCAACAAACAAACAACATAACTCTACTCATATATAGAATGAGGATTCTCATGTTTACCACCCTTGTGCTCCTCTCAAATTTAATTAGAATAATATATGTAATGCATCATGTCACTGGTGAGTGTGTTCCGGATCAAAAGTCTGTGCTTCTCCAGATACGAAGTGAAATCACTTACTCGGCATCCACCAAGCTGGTGCTGTGGGATGAAAGAGTTGACTGCTGTCACTGGCCAGGCCTGAGTTGCAATGATGTTGGATATGTTACTACTTTTAATCTCAGCCATGACGACTCAATCACCGCTGGCTTCAATGTTTCTCTCTTGCTGAAACTGCCATCTCTTTCTGTTATTATGCTTGATGGGATCTACTTCTCTGCTCCATTTCCAGACTTTTTCCAAGATTTCAAAAATCTGACTGTTTTGAGCCTGGCAGGATGCAGCTTCAGTGGAACAGTCCCTCCGAAATTATTCCAGGTACCAACTCTGCAAACCATTGACTTATCTTACAATGAAATTCTTGAGGGTTCTTTGCCAGACTTCCCGGAAAATGGATCTCTCAAGAGCCTCACACTTGAAGGGACATTGTTTTCTGGGAACTTACCTGAGTCCATAGGAAACCTCAGAGTGCTGTCCCATATTGACGTTACAGGTTGCAATTTCAGAGGAGTAATCCCTGCTTCTATTACAAAGCTTACCAAGCTTGTTGAGCTGAGATTGTCTGGGAGGGTGGTGGGAATCACTTCACTGGTAGGATTCCACCATTTAAGCTGTTTAAGAACCTCACCTATCTAGATCTTTCTCATAATGATTTTATAGGTGAAATTCCTTCCTCTCATTGGGATGGCCTTAACAATCTTGCACTTCTGTATTTGGCCCAAAATTCATTTTCAGGACCTATCCCAGCATCACTATTTTTCTTGCCATCACTTAGATCCTTGGATCTGGATGGAAACAAACTTTCTGGTCATATAAATGAATTGCAAAATGTGACTTCCAATTCTCCACTGGAATTACTTGATTTGAGGAATAACAATTTGGAAGGGACAATACCTTCCTTCTTCTTTCAATTCCAAAATCTGTCAACCCTGCATCTCGGGATGAACAAATTTTCTGGCCAAATAATTGAATTGCAAAATGTTACTTCTCAATTAAGAGAGATTGATTTGAGGGACAATAACTTGGAGGGACCAATACCTTCCTTCTTCTTTCAACTTCAGAATCTCACAAATCTCTATCTTTCATCAAACAAATTTTCTGGTCAAATGATTGATTTGCAAAATGTGACTTCTCCTTTGGAAATTCTTGATTTGAGCAGCAACAACTTGGAAGGGATAATACCTTCATTCCTCTTTCAATTACAAATGATGGTACCGTGTTTCTAACAAGATTTAGACACCCAGAGAATATTTACTCTCTTGACTTTTCCTATAATAGCTTGGTAATTGAGACAACCATAAGCCCAGCACAACTTCCCTTACTCCCTCAGTTTGAAATATTAATGTTAGCCTCCAGCAATCTGCAAAAAATTCCCAGTTTTCTAAAAAATCAATCTAAATTGAATTCATTAGATCTTTCCAGCAATGCTATACGTGGAGAAATTCCTAATTGGATATGGGGAATCGGTATACGTGGAGAAGTTCTTAATTGGATATGGGGAATCGGTAATGGGACACTTCTTTACCTCAATCTTTCTCACAATCATTTGATGCATATGAAAGAGCCAATGGAAAACCCTGCTCTTCTGGTCGTTGATCTAAATTCTAATCTGCTAAGTGGACAAATTCCAAGGCTACCAAGTGAGGCACAGTATTTAGACCTCTCCAACAACAACTTCTCCATGATTCCTCTTGATATTGGTGATCAAATCCCACGTGTCTCTTTCTTTTCAATTGCAAACAATAGACTCCATGGAAGCATCCCAATTTCCTTGTGCCATGCACCCAATCTTGAAGTGCTTGACTTGTCCTACAACACTTTGTTTGGCAAAATACCATCATGTCTGCCTCAAAATAATACCAATCTTGCTATAATGAATTTGAAAGGAAATCGTTTAAGTGGTGAGATATCAAACAAGTTTCAAGAGGGATGTTCTTTAGAGACATTGGATCTTAATCAAAATATGTTGGAAGGGCAACTTCCTCCCTCATTGGTGAACTGCACAGAGCTTAAGGTTTTGAATCTTGGAAACAACAGATTGAGTGATACCTTTCCTTGCTGGCTCAATAAATTGGTAAATCTACACATTCTTGTCTTGCGTTCCAATCATTTTCATGGAACCATATCTTGCACCAAGCTTGGGGTAAACAGCAGCTGGCCAAGCTTACAAGTCATTGACTTATCATCCAATAATTTCAGTGGAAATCTACCAACTCAATTATTCTTGGAACTAAAAGCTATTCTTGTTGATAGGAATGAAGCAAACTCAAAGGTTGATTACTTGCACTTCACATCTCCACGAGATAACTTCTACTATCAAGACTCAGTCTCACTTTCTCTAAAAGGGCATGATTATATTATACAGAAAATTCTGTCTATCTTCACTTCTATTGATTTTTCAAGTAACCAATTTGAAGGGGATATACCAGAGAGTGTTGGAGAGCTTAAACTGCTTTATCTCCTTAACATCTCTCACAATGCACTAACAGGTTGTATTCCTCAATCTCTTGAAAACTTGAATGCTTTGGAAGCATTAGACCTCTCATTCAACAACCTAGCAGGAAGTATCCCAGAGCAACTAGAGAGCCTAACCTTCCTATCCTTCTTAAACTTGTCGTACAACCATCTCGTTGGAAGGATCCCACAAGGCAAACAATTTAGTACCTTTGATACAAGCTCATTCATGGGAAACAAGGGGCTATGTGGATTCCAGCTTAATGTATCTTGCAATGGCATTAAAAACCCAGTATCTCCACTACCAACATTGGATGAGAAAGAATCAGCTTACCACGGTGATATCTACGCCAGCATTGCATTAGGATTTGCTGTGGGCATAAGAGGAATATTTCTGCCACTTCTGTTGTCCAACAAATGGAGATTATATTATAACAAGAAGATTGATGGAGTTCTTTTCAAGGTTTTCTTCAAGAGAGGTCAAGGGAGAAGAAGGAACCATCGCTAATAACAAAATCAATCAACAAGTCCAGTGCAGGGCTTACATTCTTGTTGCATTGTCATCCACCTGGCTTCTGTTTTTATATATGTATTAAGTGTGGTTGTCCAACTGATCGAGTTTGTAATCTTGGATGTCTAGTATGGTGCTTTTTTTTTTCTTTTTTTTTTTAATATTTTCTTTTTAATTTTCATGATGGCCTGCATGTTTTTGTTTGTGTTTAGTTCTATTAATTGGGTCAAATTTCGTCATTATATTGTTGTAATTTGGGTTGATTTGTCTGTATAATGTGTTTTACTACTAAATTTACACATTGCATGCCTCTCATGATTTTTATTAGAGTTAAAATCTCTAATGGTCCTCCGAGTATTAGTGATTTATCAGTTTTGGTCATCTGAATTTTAAATAACCTCCAATGGTCCTCCATGTTTTTTAAAAAAACCACCCGTGGTCTTAATTCTTAAAAATATTCGAGTTTAAAATGACCACGAGACGTTCCATGTTAGTATAAGTTATTATTATTATTATTATTTCCTTTGTATGTTTTATATTGTGTGGCTTAGATAGCTTGACTTAGTTTATCTATTTGTTAGGATTAGTTAGAGTTAGATATACTCTGTAATCCTGATGTTACGATCAATTAACGAAAACCTTTTCTAATCTGGTATCAGACTAGGCTTTTCGATCTCTCTCAAACCTCCACCACAAATCTTCCCCCTCCCTTCCCGCACTCCGAAACAGCCATGTCGTCCGGTTCCGATCGTACAGCTTCCGATGGTGCAACTCCGGCAGCCGGTGGTTCCCTCGCCGGTGCTCACCATTACATTACAATGAAGCTCACGCTAAAGAACTACCTGTTTTGGCGTATGCAGATCGTTTCCTTCCTCCGTGGCCAGGAGCTTCTGGGCTTCATAGACGGTAGCTTTCCCTGCCCACCGGAGTTGATCGTCGGCACACCAGCTTCCGTTGACGCCTCGTCCAGTCACGCCGTCCCGTCCGACACTCCCAATCCGGCTTTCAAAGCCTGGGTGAAGCAAGACCAGACCATCATCTCTCTCCTGGTCTCGTCTATGGCGGATGAGACGTTACATCTTGCACTCGGGAGGAACACGGCGGTTGAGATATGGTCATCCATCACCGGCGCGCTGGGATCCTCAAGCCAGGCGAGATGCCTCGATCTGTTGTCGCAGTTTCAGATGCTCAGGCAGGGCAATTCGACCACCGGAGATTATCTTGGGCGTGCCGGTGTTCTAGTGGAGTCACTGATCCAGGCCGGCCGGCCATTGACGCTGATGGAGCAGAACTTGTATATCATTCGCGGGCTTCGTCCGGAGCTCAAAACTTTAGCCACCGCGCTGACGGCCACCGGGAATCTGGTCACCTTATCACACTTGTCTGATTATTTGCAGGCCCATGAATTCATATTGGTGGATGACTATCCGTCTCTGGACAATGGCGCGGTGCACACTGCTTTGTATGCCGGTCAGGGGCGTGGTTCGAATAATCACGGCGGCGGCCGGAATCAAAACAGGGGCGGCGGACGGAGTTCTAGTGGCAACAGTGGTCGGAATTCGAACCGTGGTGGCGGTCGTGGAAGCCGTGGGAATCAGCGGTGTCAAATTTGCAGGTCCCATGGTCACACGGCCGTGTATTGTTATAAGAGGTATTCCACGCAACCGCCCGCTCAAGCTCACGTGGCCGTGTCCGGAGAGGCACCGTCGACCTCGGCATCGCACGCTCCGGATGGGTGGTATCCCGACACCGGGGCTACTGCGCACGCAACTCCCGATGCGTCAATGATGGGTAACTCTGAGGAGTATGGTGGGCCGGATGTGCTTCGTGTCGGCAATGGGGCAGGTTTGGCTATCTCGAGAGTCGGTCACACGTCTATTCCGTCCAAATCTAAAAATCTCCACTTAAATGATGTGTTACATGTCCCGCGTTTGTCTGTTCCTTTGTTGTCCGTTCATAAATTTACTAATGACAACAAAGTGTTTTTTGAATTTCATAACGATTCTTTTTTTTTTTTTTTTTTTTGTGAAGGATTCCACAACCAAGGCGGTTCTACTTAAAGGGTCTACTTCTGGCGGGTTGTACAAGTTTCCAAGGTTACGGTCACAATATGCGTTCGTCAGTTCCCGTGCCACTCCCACCGTCTGTCATAACAGGCTTGGTCACCCGCACAGTCAAGTATTAAATAAAGTCCTGAAAAGCTATCCTGTCACAATCAATAAAAACACCACTCCCGAGCTGTGTGCATCGTGTCACCTGGGCAAATCGTCTCGATTTAAACCAGATAGTGTTTCTCATTTCAGTGACAATGTACTCGATTTAATTTTTACCGATATTTGGGGTCCTTCCCCTGAACTATCTAGTAGTGGTAATTGTTATTTTTGTTTATTTGTAGACGACTATTCCAGATTCTGCTGGTTTTACCCATTAAGGGTGAAATCAGACATATATAAAGTATTTGAGTCGTTTCGTGTTTTGGTAGGGCGACAGTTTTCGCGCTCTATCAAGTCTATTCAGTCTGATCTAGGGGGTGAATACCGCAAACTCCATACAATTTTCCAATCTTTAGGTATAAACCATCGCCAATCATGTGCCTATACACATGAACAAAATGGCAAAGTTGAACGCCGTAACAGGCATGTAGTTGAAACAGGTCTCACCCTCCTTGCTGAAGGCAAAGTCCCGCAACAATATTGGGACTACGCTTTTGAAACAGCAACATGCTTAATCAACTACTTACCATCATCAGCGATTAATTATGAAAGTCCCTACACCCGCTTATTCAAAGTTTCACCACGACACCACCCTATAATTTCCTACGTGTCTTTGGGTGTCGGTGATACCCACATCTCCGTCCATACAATCGACACAAAATTGAGTACCGCTCCATTCCTTGCGTCTTCCTAGGTTACCCACCATCCTTTAGGGGATACAGATGTGTTGACTTGGCAACTGGGAAAACCTATATCTGTCGCCATGTGCATTTTGACGAGTCTAACTTTCCTTTTGCAACAGGAAACTATACACAAGTATCTACACCTCCGGAGATACCTTGGGCGGTAGCACCCTTGTGTCTACCAGCATCGAGTAGTAGTCACACTGCACCATCTAATACTATGCTGTCTGAAAGTGAACCATTACCACTAGCGAGGGCTCCTCCTCAGTTGGCAATCACACAGACCGCTCCGGTAAGGTCTCGCAAACGGCGTGCACAACCGCAAGGTCGTGATCATGTTATGCGCCTTCGTCACATGACCAAAGGCACGTTGGAGCCATTCCATGCCTTGACAGCAATTGCTGATCCCACTTGTTACTCACAAGCTGTGGGGCACCCCCACTGGCGTGAGGCCATGGATCAAGAGTTCAACGCCTTATTACATAATCAAACCTGGCGTCTGGTCCCTCCGGAGCCACACATGAATATCATCGGGTGCAAGTGGGTATTCCGGACGAAGTATTAGACCTCTCATTCAACAACCTAGCAGGAAGTATCCCAGAGCAACTAGAGAGCCTAACCTTCCTGTCCTTCTTAAATTTGTCATACAACCATCTCGTTGGAAGGATCCCACAAGGCAAACAATTTAGTACCTTTGATACAAACTCATTCATGGGGAACAAGGGGCTATGTGTATTCCAACTTAATGTATCTTGCAATGGCATTAAAAACCCAGTATCTCCACTACCAACATTGGACGGGAAAGAATCAGCTTACCATGGTGATATCTACGCCAGCATTGCATTAGGATTTGCTGTGGGCATAGGAGGAATATTTCTGCCACTTCTGTTGTCCAACAAATGGAGATTATATTATAACAAGAAGATTGATGGAGTTCTTTTCAAGGTTTTCTTCAAGAGAGGTCAAGGGAGAAGAAAGAACCATCGTTAATAACAAAATCAATCAACAAGTCCAATGGCTTCATCCAGGTTACTTTGTTTTTATGTATTAAGTGTGATTGTTCAACTTAGTGTGTAATAATGGATGTTTAATGTGGTGCCTTTTTTAAACCAAGGTCTAGTCAGAATCAGAGAAACCATGTACTGTTCTAGTTGGATACCCAGATAGCCGTAAACCAAGGTCAATTGTCCCTTTTACATACCGCAGAACCCACTTCAGAGCAGCAAATGATCTTGAGTAGGACTATGCATAAACTGACACATGTGATTGACCGCATTTTATTTATGAGGTAGTCAACAAACTCAAATGCAAAGTCTCAAAACCGAGAAGGAACATAGGCATGAGCTATAAGTGTTAGCTAAGTCTCAACAATATGCCTATGTTTACGCTCTACACAACCATTCTATTCATGAGTATAAGCACATGATTGTCTATGATTGATTCCTATAGGGTTGCATTCACATGCAAACACCCTTAAAATACAAACGTGAGGACAGAATCTAGCCATAGGATGTGTGCAGATGGACGGATTAGATGTAGGTAATTAAATTAAATAAAGATGCAGTTTTTGACTAGGAAAAGGGTAATTATGCCAAAGCACTAACAATGTAATTAACGAACAGATTTCAAATGGATATTACGCAAGAAATTAGGTAGACTAATTATAGTAGGAGTTCTGTTCATCTGTTCCAACGTGAAGGAATTGCAGAAGCGGAATTCGCACCCACCGGCCGGCGGTCAGTCGCAAAGAGATGGATGTGAATCCATACTACATAGAGGCGGAAAAATCAGGTGATTACGATTAACCAATCTTTACTCTTGATGAATATCATCTTTGTGTTATTCTATACAGTGTGTGTTCTCCATAAGGTTTGTAATTGTAATCTTGGGGAAGAAAACCGTGGATATTAGAACTCATGCGTCTTGTGCGTGTAGTAGTTTGAAAAAAATTAGTAACTCCAGAAAATTCTTTCTGGCAAGCGAGAACGCTGAGAGTAGGAGTCATGTGTTTTCGTGCACTGGGCGTGCACACACCAGTGTATGTCCGTGCACACATTTGTGCATGGGAATTCCTTTGCGAGATCCCTATAGATAATCTGCG